AGACACGCACACACACACACACATATGTATATATATATATATATATATATATATATATTCATTATAGTAATTCAACATGTCTAGAAGAATCCTCAACCGAATGCAGAAAGCATTGGACGGCCGTTTCTTCCTATTTGGGGACTCATCAACACTGCGCATCCACTACCGGAGATCGAACCCGGAACTTTAGAAGACAACGGGCCTCGGAGATAAAGAAGAAAGTGACTAGACTCGATATATGGCCGTTACTCCCAAATTTCGTGGCGATACTCATCAAGTATTCATAACTTTGTGTCAAATATATATATATATATATATCAATATATATATATATATATATATATATATATATATATATATATTTATATATCTATGTGTGATCCTTCTCCAAAAAATTCGCTAAAAATGATCATACATGATGAAAAAATAACCCAAACTTAATAAAATGAAGTTGTATAGTTAAACTATTTATGTTATTAAGACGAAAGACCGAAGGATTTTTAATTTTTAAACTATACATTTTAATCTTTTTTGGATGCTTCAAAATTTTGCTTGATTTTTTTTTGCTTGTGTCAGAGGCTGGCCTTAAGTTACTATTCAAAACTTTAGCTTCTTTGGTTGGAAATTCTTGGAAAAATCAAATAATTGTCAGGTTTTAATGAAACTTCCAGGACTTTTTCACGAAATGAAATTGTTCTTGAAAGTTTCTTTTTAAAAATATCTTTTTAAAAACATATTACATCTGTAAGCCCTCACTTATTTAATTTTATAAAAGTTAAAAAAATCATTTTTATAGGGATTTTAAAATTCTGTAATAATTTGCAGTGGTTAGATGATATTGTTATTAAGTAAATAATATATTTGCACATAATAAATGGAAAACATTACTACAATCCAGCGACCCTAAAAAGAAGTTTGAATATCTTGTTTGTATAAGCGTGCCGGTGCTTGTATATAGGTACGAGATTATTAGAAAATAAGAGTGCTAACTATATCAAATTTGAACCCAAAATACACAAAATTTAATAAAACATTAGATTACTAAATTTTTAAGATTACTGGGTAGTTAAATATAATATGCCTCCCTTTTTTATTTAATTTTTTATTAAATAAAAAAAGGAGTCATATTATATTTTTTGAGTAATGTTTACAGATATGCCCACGTAGAAAAAATTACGAAACATAAGTCTATCGAGACAGTTGTCAACAACTCTTACAACATCGACTTTTTAAAAAAGGTTTTATCTGCGATATTTTAAACTAAAATTATTATTCGTTTCAAATCAGATTAATTAAACTTGAAATCAGTTAATCTTCCTGAAATAAAGTTTAAAGAGTGTATTTTATTTTAGAAACATTTCTTTAATATAGAGAATTACGCTGTGCAGAGAGTTGTAAATGAGGCTAAAATTTATAAGTTTCTAGCGACAAAAACTCAGTCCAATCAATTTAAATTCGTTTTGAAAGACAACAAAATATTTTGCCTATTGGAAATATTAAATTTGAATCTATTATTTTAAAAATAAAACTGAAATAAAAGCTTCGAGAAAGATTTTTCATTTGAAAAAAATTCATTTTACAGTTTAGCTATCATTCACACACGCACACACATGCACACACAGACACATACACACAGACACATACACACACACACACACACATATATATATATATATATATATATATATATATATATATATATATATACAATGTTACCCGGATATAAGAGAAACCCGTATATAAGAGAAACCCGGATATAAGAGATTTTCTCTGGTCCCAAATTAGAGCCTGTGTTAATGTATATAAAATAGACCAAACCGGATATAAGAGAAACCCGGATACAAAAAGACTTCTTCTCCGGTCCCGACAACTCTCTTATATCCAGGTTTACTATATATATATATATATATATATATATATATATATATATATATATATAGTTTTTCATGTTGTGCCTGACGATTGTGACATGCATAGAAATGATAGTTGTAACAAGCAGTGAGGGAAAATGTATATTTATTATTATTTGTAATATATACACACACACACGCACAAACACACACACGCACAAACACACAAACACACACATATATATATATATATATAAGAATTAATGTGTTTTATTTTTAAACTTAAATATTACTATCAACTAAAATAATGTAGGAAAAAAATATATATATATATATATATATATATATAAATTATATTTAACCAAGGAGAAATCAGGAAACCATTTATTTTTCTGTTTTTCCAATTTTCCAAGTTGTTCATTCCGATCAAAGCTGAAGAGAAACTCTCCAAACTTCATACTAAAAACACAAGAGGAATACAAAAAAAATTCCAGACGTTTCTTATTTTCTTCGGTCACACCCAGACATGAAAGTCTGTTTCATGCATAAACGCAGTCGTCTATCCCTGATGTTGAGCACTTTAGCCCATAAATATAGCATAACTTAAAACTATATTTTGTCATATATATATATATATATATATATATATA